ACAGGCTTTTCTGTTCAAGAGGCTTTTATTCATGTACATATACATTGTGTATATTATGATTAATGGGTTATATTGTTGTATTATCTGTTCCTCCAGGTTCTGGAAGAGTGGCTATTGGAAGAATCATTTAGGAAAGAGGCGCTATCACATCAGTGCACTGTATGTTATTGATCTACAGCAGTTCAGACTATTAGCTGCTGGGGATAGATTAAGAGGACAATATCAAATGCTATCACAGGATCCTAACAGGTACAGTGAGTCTAATCAATAATCTTATGATAAACAATGGATCATGATACCTACTGACTCAAATAAGTAATGACAGATTGTAAATTGTGTATAATTTAAGTGATGTTGTAATTTCAAATAGCAGATTATGAAAACATTTTCCATGAAAATTACCTGATTGAACATTCATGTATTATTATACATTAAGGCCATTACATTCAATAAAAGTACAATTATAATTATTTCTTTTTCCTCTCTTTCTTTTCTCTCTCCCTCTTTATCTCTGTCTCTTTCTCTCTCTAGTTTATCTAATTTAGATCAGGATCTTCCTAACAGTATGATTTATAATGTACCAATAAAGAGTTTACCACAGGATTGGTTATGGTGTGAGACATGGTGTTCAATGGAGACAAAATCAACTGCTAAAACTATTGACTTGGTGAGTTGGTATGATACTACTACTAGTACATTATAGATAGCAATGATACACTACATTAATGAGTAATGATTACTAAATTTTTTTATAATACACTACATGTACATATGGTGGGTATACTTAGCTTGTGCTGCATATGTTGTGATGGAACAGTTAAGCATAAGCCTAGCTACATGTAGTTTACCTGTGCCACAAAATGCAACATAAAATGAAAATTTTACCAATTTTGTGTTAACTTAGCATTTTTGTGTGAAAAAAGTCAGATCGCCCACTCAATTTTGACTGTTACCTCAACTATAAATCTAGCTTTTCGTGCATATGTCGTTGCTAGCTTGCTATTACAAAACGACTGTGTCTCTTATATCCTATTCTTCTTCTCTCTCTCTCTCTCTCAGTGTAATAATCCAATAACAAAGGAGCCTAAGTTAACAAGTGCAGTACGTATCATTGATGAATGGGTTGACTATGATAATGAGATTAAAAGATTGCAAAAGGAAACAATGACAGAGACAAGTCTCCCTACCTCTCCCTCATCAACTCACACTCCCTCTCATCAAGAACTGTAGTATTATTATTATTATTATTATTATTATTATTCTCATTTGTAGCTGATAATTTATTAATATTTTCTCTTTCAATTATTTATAAATATCTTTTGAGAAGCAATAATTTAAATTAATTTATCACTGATTGGTGAAGTCCTAAATGTAACTGGTCAAGTTCTGCCTATTCATGTCCATCAGTTTGTTCATTGCAATTGATGTGTTATAATACCGTAAATTCTTGTGTGTGTAACTTGTAATTTAGTGTGTGATATTATACAGAATGAATGTACATGTACAAGTAGCTACTTCAGTTCCTTCATTACTTATACATGTACGTAATCCATGATGTACAGGTACATGTGATGTCTTTATTAAATTCATTTTATCTGTACTAGCCCTTAATGTTGGCTTCATTTTTGAACAACTGTAAAAATTCAATAAGTTCAATTTTGATCAGAATCAGCTCAATCTGTCTATGTACTATAACATCAGGACATGTATGTGTTAA